AAAAAAAAAAAATTTCGAAAGTGATCATCTAATTGTCTCGAACAAAATTCTCGAATTTCTCAATATATGTTGATTCAGTAACGGAAAAAATTGTTCGATATTATATTTCGTACTACTTTTCACTCGCTACTTCATGTAAAGCCATCTTAGAATAAAGCGAATGATGCATTTTCAAAGTAGAAGTGTCAAGCTTTAAAACGTGCTCAGATTTATTGTACGATTTTATTTCTTGAAGTTGTAACATTTTTAATATTTAATATCCGAATATGTAGGTATTCGATTATCAGTGCGGACAAGTGTGGATATTATTTATTACTAGTAATCTAAATTCGCGTTTAATTTAGTTCTCAGAACAAACCTAGAAATCTCATGCAACCAATCCAACTAATCGTCTATCAATTACTGTTGGAATAAAATTTCGCACACGATAATTCGCAATCTATAATTACGTTCCCCAGATTTTGGTCGACAAATTATAAATTACACGACGATCTAATTGTAATATGGAAATACCTTATCAAATATCGTAAATCCTCGGTCAATGAATAAAGAAAAGTCCCGGACGAGAACGTCTTTAACCAGTTCCAGGTCGTTGATAATAAGAACCGGTGTTCTTCCCTCGTATATTCCGAACACTGGTTCGTGTTTGAATTCGTGGTACCAATTTTTCACAGCTGTAGCTATCGCGTATTTTCTAGTGATAATACCCCAAAAGTTTCCAAAAAACGGGCCTGGTTTTGGTCCAGGTATGCCGCGATTCTTCCAATAGTTGTGAGTCGAAGTGTAATAATAATAAATTGCCAGCACTATGGCGCCAATGGCGAAGAGAAGTTGATAGCAGTCCATGTTCTAGAAAATTAAATTTCAATATTAAAAATCACTCATCGTCGCAAGTGATTTGCTGTCGTTCTTCCAGCTTGAAGATTATATCTATGCAAGTTCTTCTGTTGTGGGATATTATAAATGTTGATAATATCAATGTTGAAGAAATCGGTTAGTTGTATGTCTAAAGTTAGGAATGCGTAAAACTACTTTGTTGAAATAAAAGTGAGGCAATGTAATTGTATTATAGACTAGAGTTTCAGGCTTACGTGATATTTTAGAATTCAGCTTCTTACCGTAATGTCTGGTGTGCAATTGTAAAGTAACTTCAATTGCGTAAGATTTCTCTGTACGAAATGTCGATTTTATTATCTATTCCTTATCTCACACCTGATACATGCGTCATATATTAAAAGCAAATTTAATCTTATCATGTTGTTGAAAAAAAAAAAAAATATGTGAATTATCGGAAAGTGTACCTCCACTTCTACGTATTGTATAATCACCGAAGATATTTAATTTTTTAATAGTGCAGTTGTTTCAAATTTATCTCGCAGTATGTAAATTTTTCTAGCAGAAAATTATGTTTTTTGGATGCTCGTTACTTACTTGGAATATTAATTACAGTACTGTGCAGTTTTCAAATGAACGAATGAGCTAATTAGAGTATTCCAAATATTTAAAAATAATCGAGTTAGAAAATTCATGATCTCTTTAGGCTCGCAGAAGTCAATAAAATTCTTGTGGTTGCGTTGAGATTATTTTTGGTGGACGCGTCAGATAAATCAGAAGATTACAAAGCAAAAAATAGTAATCATAAAATTCCCGGAACGATAACAAAACGTAATCGGACATTGTTCGAATGAAATATATTATCTATAGTGATAACGTTGTTACTTGCTTATTAATGTTAATAGAATCTGAGTAATTTATTTTACTTGAAATTTATTTTATTCATCTGATACGTGATGCACTATTTCTATGATTTTTTTCTATGACTTTATTATAATATCTGAGCCAATTTGCTCATTAACGAAGTAGTTAATTGACTCTGAATAACTATATTCTATTTGAAAATTATTCTGATTATTTTATTCATTTATTTTATTTATTTCATGTAAATATGTACTATCTAGTTAATGTATCAAATTCTTTTCTTTATAAGTTTATATTATATTTCATTTAATTCGACTACGAAAATCTTTTCCAAAAGAAAACGATATTTTTATTTGTTGCATTTTTGGAAATATACTGAACACACTGATTTCCCTTGCATAATTATTTTTCTCCGGTTTTTCGTTTCGGAGAGTGGCTCTTTTTCTTATCTCTGTTTGTAATTTGTAATTTTTTTATTTCGCGATTTCTCCGTATTTGTTTATTATTTCTGTGTGACAAAATATTTTTTTTTTTTTTGCTATATTCTTAAAGTTGTTTAGGCGGTCCTTTCAGAAAAGATACAAATGAGAATCATTATACTGAAACTCGTAACTACATTCACGTGTTAAAACATTAACACATTATATAAACGATTGTAATAACTTCTAGACCTAACTTTCTTGGATACTCTGTACGAACAATACAATCACAGTTATACAAATACACAGTGAATAAATACAAACTTACGCAATAATGTCAATATAAAATCTTTTTTTGTTTTGCGGTCCAAACGAGGTACTGTGGACAGGTGTAGTCAACTGAGGGAGAAGATCACACGTCCTACCTGGTGACGAGTGGCAACGCCACCTGCAGGAGAGAGGAGGACCTCGCGAGGAAGAGGAGCTAGGCCCCCCTCCGAGTGTCGACGATAAGAGAGAGGAAACTGCCCCTATCAGAGGAGGAGAGAGAGTACTCACGAGATAGGAGAGGCTGTTCGTTTTGCACGAGGGTTTGTGCCCCCTCGCCCTCCTACTCTCCTGCAAAAGCCATGGAGCAGAGCTACGCTGGACGACGCACGAGGAGGGATAGACAAGGTCTCCCCCCCCACTTGTTAAAAAATCTGTCGTATCAGACGTCCCGATAACGACTGCAGATTCTGACCATCACCATGGATGGTACAATAAACGCGGACAACGCTGCCCATATACGGGGCACAATTATACATAGAATTAGAGAAATTGCATAGCTGAGAGAATACTCGCGCAGCACTGCAATTTACAGCACACTCACAAGCAAACAGACGCCCAAAGGTCCATACAAACATTCAGTATAAAAATTAGAGACAGCGGCATTACACTCGCTGCTCTGTAATGCATGATCAAAAAGAAACGAGACTAGAGGACGGCAGCGCCTCCGCTTCGCTCGCCGGATTTTCAAGCGCACGGCGTTTTTCAGCGTTGACCTCGCAACGCGTGCGACTGCCGGGTCATCTGCGTTCAGAATTTTGTACGCGTGGGCCACGGCGGTAACATCCGCAAGGTCCGCCAATGGAAGAAGCCCGCATCCAGTCCAAGAGGGGGGGATAAAGACCATCTCAGCGCTGGCACTTTTTTTTTAAGGTAAAATTGCGAATTGGCTATTTTGCCCATTTTGGTAATGTTAGCACTTTCCGGCTATTTAATTTGCAGTTTTACGTACGTGTCCGGCAGTAATTTACGAAATTTCAGCATGCAACGTTTCAAGGAAAAACTAGTCCTACTATCTTTTTATTTGTTCGTATAATTCTCACATTTCAAGTATTCATACATAGATATATGTTTAAAAGATTGACGTTTTTGAAAACATAGGTACATAACACTTAAATATAATTACACTCTTATGAATATATCTC